TACAGTAAGAACACTGCTGCTACATATGTAACCTGATCAAGGATGCTGCATTTCATGAGACAGATATAAATCATATTCATTGGCTGTATACTACACACCTGTCTATTTACTTAAAGTCTTATCTCTTCCTGGCTTCAGCATGATAAGAGAGAGATTGGAGGCTGTTCAGAGCCTGTTTACACTGTTGGCTGGAAATAGCTGATGTGTGCTGGGTGAAGGGTCATTTATTAGTTATGGTTCGACTATTCAGAACCAAGACAAGGTCCATTAGCACCAAAGGCACAAAGACGAAGATGACTTTCAATTATTGCTATGCATTACTGAATTTTTATACATTTTTTGTGCTTTTTTTTATGAAGAAATGCCTTTTTATTCAGCACTTCAATGTAGTTGCAAGTGAGAAAGAGATTAATTTATAGAAACCATGCGGCATCACCCTGGATGTTTCTTATAACCACAGTGAGGTCTGCTGCCTTTAGCATCAGGATTCTCCATTCATTCTCTCATACTGTACTGGCAACCTGGAATAAGTAGCTGTGGCTGCTATGGGCAATCAAGAGGTCCCTTTTCTCAGATATTTTTATGAATAAAGCTTGCTGGAAGAAGGAAAAGCTTGTTGGGAATCTAGGAGAGTATCTTGTTCTAGTCTTTGTTGGCCTTTTCACCCATAAGGGCTTGTCCATGTCATAACAGGTAAGCATTATAGAGGTTCTTCAGTCTGTTGTGCAAAATTTAAACATCAGCAGCTACAAAAAGCTGACATATAATAAACAGATACTCACCTGTCTAGGGATCCAGCACTGTCCTCACTCGAGCCAGTTTCTTCACCGGTCTTCGGTCCCCGGTGTTGGCATGTTAACTGTAGGCAGCCGACTGCCCACTGCGCTTTGTGAATGGTCCCGCAACCTTCCGGGACCTGTGACGTGTCCCAAAAGGATGCAGGCAGGAAAGAGGGGTTGGATACAAAGAAAAAACACCTGGTGGCTCTGAGGAAGAGGTTGAGACCTCGAAACGCGTTAACCTGTTGGAAGTCCAGGGTTCCTTTTTTTTGGCTTATATGCTATGTGGACTAGACACCGCTGTTTAGCGTGATGTGCCTTTGACCTGTTTGCCTATTGTGAGTTCGATACTTACTTTTTATCCTTCCAATACATTTTTTATGATAATGCACTAGGCCTGTTTGTTTCTCTTTGTATCCAGTGACATTGGACTGCCCTGGCCCGTTGAGGGCAGCAAGGAGTGCATATTCCAGGATATCTGTGATGGTACCATAACCCTAGCAGAGTCCATTCCGAAGCACAGGAGTACAGAGTTTGCTGTGTTTAGGAAAGAGGGGTTGGGGGGGAGAACTTCCACTCAGATCACTTGGGTGATCAAAAACAGGTACCCGTACCCCCCTCCCAAAAAATGTGTGCCAAATACTGTACTTCTTAATGGTGATCCCTCTACTGATAACTAAAGATCTGTACAGAGGAATCAGGACCTCCTTTCTCCTGCTGGTGATCCCTCTACTGATACCTAAAGAGCTGTATAAAGGAATCAGGACCTACTTCTTCCTGATGGTGATCCCTCTAGTGATAACTAAAGTTCGATATATTGAAATCAGGACCACCTTCCTACTGCTGGTGACACCTCTAGTGATAACTAGAGATCAGTGTAAGGCAATCAGAACCTCCTTTTCTCCTGATGGTGACACCTCTAGTGACACATGTTTCCCAGTGTAAGGTAGATAAGACCTCCTTCCTCCTGCTGGTGATCCCCATAGTAATACACCCTTGAAAACAGGCCAACCATTTATATTTGTGGGTAAGGTTTAGAGCACTGTGCATGTACACTGGGGTGAAGTTAAGAATGACAATATTCCGCAATGCACAAAAATACCTAATGGATGCTACATGCAGCCTCAGAAGTGCATCCACTTTTCTGCCTAGGAGGTTCATTTGGCTTTGTGATCACCAAAATGGATTATATCTTCTTCTAGTGGGGGGATGTTTTTAAAGTGGAAGTAAACTCTATTTTGCACCTTTTACCTACAGGTAAGCCTTTAATAAAGCTTACCTGTAGGTACTGTAAATATCTCCTTAACATGCACCGTTAAGAGATATTTGCAGTCCAGAGGCTGAATTAAAAGAAAACAAATCAATTCCTCCATTTTACACTATACAGCGTAGTTGAATAACTGTAGCTATAGAATTTTGACACATGGTCCTGCTGGCTGTCAAGATACCTGATCAGTGACTGTATCTGACTGGATTCTGTCAATAATTTTCCAGCAGGCTCCTTTGATTTTTTAATCGAGAGATGTTGGGCGGGAGGCAACTTACAGGGCCACTCTCTGAGCAAATTTCAGCTGGTTTATCAGGAAGTGGACAACATTTGCCCCATGTATGGCCAGCTTTAGTATAATCACAAGTTTTTTTTAGTTTTGGATAGAGTAGGGACAGATTATACATCGTGTCAGGTTTGGGATCTGTTGGGATCTATTGACATTAGGTATTTGACTGCGTGCCCCGTGCAGGTCCACGTTTTCCCGGCACGGGGGATGCACAGCTGTCAGGTCAGGCACTGATGTCGGACGAGAAGGCCTGGCTTGCAGTCTACGCTCTAATTCATCTCAAAGGTGTTCTATCGGATTGAGGTCAGGACTCTATGCAGACCAGCCAAGTTCCTCCACCCCAAACTCGCTCATCCATATCTTTATAGACCTTGCTTTGTGCACAGGTGCGCAGTCATGTTGGAACAGGAAGCGGCCATCCCCAAACTTTTCCCACAAAGTTGGGAACATGAAATTGTCCAAAATGTCTTGGTATGCTGACGCCTTAAGAGTTCCCTTCAATGGAACTAAAAAAAACAACCACACATCATAACCCCCCCTCCACCAAACTTTACACTTGGCACAATGCAGTCAGGCAAGTACCGTTCTCCTGGCAAGCGCCAAACCCAGACACATCCATCAGATTGCCAGACAGAGAAGCTTCATTCGTCACTCCAGAGAGCACGTCTCCACTCCTCTATAGTCCAGCGGCGGTGTGCATAACACCTCTGCATCTGACGCTTTGCATTGTACTTGGTGATGTAAGGCTTGGATGCAGCTGCTCGGCCATGGAAACCCATTCCATGACGCTTTCTACGCACTGTTGTGCTAATCTGAAGGCCACATGAAGTTTGGACTTCCTTAGCTATTGACTCTGCAGACAGTTAGTGACTTCTATGCACTGTGTGCTTCAGCATGCGCTGACCCCGCTCTGTCATTTTACATGGCCTGCCAGTTCATGGCTGAGTTTCTGTTTTTCCCAGTTGCTTGCACTTTGTTATAATACCACTAACAATTGACCATGGAATATTTAGTAGCAAGGAAATTTCACGGATGGACTTATTGCACAGGTGGCAACCTATCACAGTACCACGCTTGAATTCACTGAGATTCCTGAGAGCAACCCATTATTTCGCAGTCTGCATGCCTAGGTGCTTGATTTTATACACCTGTGGCCATGGAGGTGATTGGAACAGCTGAATCCAATGATTTGGAGGGGTGTCCCAATACTTTTGGCAATAAAATTTATTTCTAGATCCTGTTAAAGTAAACTAGATCCTTTGTGACAATGTTACTAGATATGATTTCTGCCTGAAAAAGGGCAAATTCGTTTTTGTTTACAGTATAAAGGGTGGTTACTAAATGCAAGCTGTGTGTGCCGTGTATCATATATGAGGGAGGTGTCATGTATTATGCTCACTGTACAGTTTAAGGGTGAGGCATTGTCCTTAAGCAGCAGGTCTAGTTGTAAAGAACGCTGAAGCTGTTTTTTCGAGCTTATGGAATGCTCTTAATGCTAAAAGGCCTGTTTGTCGTGCATGTGCTGGACGAGTACTGGCCCACTTACTATTAATAAACAAGCTCTCTGGTATTTAAGTACACATGATGATTCCATAGTGTAGGACTGAAAAATTACTTTTATTTACAGCTGTTGTAGGGATCACACTGCCATATAGAAACATAGATCATGACAGCCTTTTGTAAGGCTCCAACCCTTTTGCCAACAACCATACTGCCCAATTACTACTGCTTGAACTTAAATCAGAAAGAACTATTGAATATTGAAGACAACACAACATGCTGCCTGCCATCTACTGTATATAGAGCTATACAGTCAATCTATCCAGAGCTGGCAGAACAAAATGCCACAGGATACCTGAGCTTCAAAGTGTCTTGTGACTCCTCTCAGTGGCCCATTTAGTCTTCTCTTTCAGTTCACTGCTGTTTATCCAAAGGTGAAGGTCAAACATGACCCTAGGGAGTGAGGGGAAAATTCTTGAGGTGTACTGCAAAAAAATCCTGACAGTACATGTATTCCATTCTTGTAAACAAAACACAGTTTGAGAAGTCCATCCTTATTCAGAGTCCAAGAATAGTTTCAGGCTTTCTAAAAGAGGAGGTGTTGGGATGTATGGTTTGAATCCAGAGGACATAAGACCATTGGCTAACATACTCCATAGTACTAAAAATATAGGAATTGTGTCTCAGCAAATGCAATTTTTAATAAGCAGCTTTCATGCTGTACATACTGTGAAATGATAATGCCCATCGTGGCTGTGACCACCTTTGATTTTCCAAACAGAGCACCAAGAGGATGACAGTGCTTCTGTCAGTGACTGATAAAATAATCTATGGTCAATCCACTGGATATCGCTGGTTAAAAATACATCAATAATAATTTCACAGATAAAGAGGAAAGGACGCAGTTATAAACACAACTGTCCTTCAGCAGGATAAAGCTGCAGAGGTATTGTGGCTGCCACCTCTGCATGTTTCCTATAATCCCACCAGCTGCCAGCCTTCCACTATAGGCATGGTTCAGGGTCATTGTTCACAGACAGAAGGATATCTAAACCAGGTCAATATTTCCTGAAAATTTGGATGTGGACTCCAAGCTATGGACCAAGTTTGATACTGGTGCAAGAAACAATTCTTCTTCTGGTTCCATTGTTATGGCATGCCACAATTACCCACAAAGACAGTTTTTCTCTGGTTCATTGGCTGTCACAATAGGCCGTGAGTCCAGCACAAAACTGTTCCGCGGTCCGTCCTTGTGGAAGTGCAGGGTGTTCCGGGCAATCAGTTCTTTTGCCATAAGGAGGAAGACCTCATCAATATTCCGAGATTCTTTAGCTGAAGTCTCCAAGACAGCAAGTAGGCCAAACTTCTCTGCCAACGTGCAGGCTTCTTCAAACAAGATTTGTCGATTCTCTGCCAGATCTGACTTATTACCTATAACGAGATAATGGATGAACCCAAAATAGCATTTTAAAAGTAGAATTTGAAAATAGTAAACACTAAGAGAAGGAAGGGAAGATGGAAACTGAGGAGAAAGTAAGGTGGAGAAGATAGATGGAAGAATGGAAGGCAGGAAGAAGGTTAGTAGTGAAGGAAGAAAGAAGACATGTAAGGGAAAAGAGGAAGGAAGGGAAAGGAGGGAAGGTACAGGAAGGAAATCTTGCACAATTTGAAAAGAATAAAACATAAGTGAAGGAAGGGAGGAAGGAAATTGAAGGGAAAATAAGGTGGAGAAGAAGGATGGAAGAATGGAAGGCAGGCAGGTTGGCAGTAAGGGAAGAAAAAAGAAATGTAAAGGAAAAGAAAAAGAGAGGAATGGAAATAAAGGAAGTAGGTACGGGAGAGGAAGGAAGTGAAGGGAGAGGAAGGGGAGTGAAAGAAAAGGAGGCAAGGAACAGGAGGCAAGGAAAAGAGAAAGGGAAGGGAATAGGAAGAAAGGGAAGGAACAAAATGCTTTTTTTAAGCCTCATGCTATTTTTTGTCTCTTTGCCCTCTATACTCAATGGTTCTGATGAAGCAGTCAGCGATGTCCACCCTACAGAATGACCAAATAAAGTCAACCTACCAATAAGCATCACCATCAGATTGGCGGCTCCATATCTCTCCACTTCATGAATCCAGTGAGGAACAGATTCAAAGGTCTGGCGCCGAGTGAGGTCATAGGCAATGATGGCCCCATGAGCACTTCGATAATAACTCTGGGTGATTGTACGGAATCTCTCCTGGCCAGCTGTGTCCCAGACTTGAACCTGCCATAAAACAACTTAAGGTCAAACACCATACAGTCAACTTTATTTTATAGTTTTGAATAGAGTGGAAGCAATTGAACCTCTGACAGGTTTATCTTGCCAACTTTATCCCCATTAGTGAGATTTCCTCGCACTTCCTGTCTTATTAACCAATGTTGCCATTGAGCAGGAAGAGAAAAATCTCCCTGATGAGGACAGTGACCCCAAGAATGGGAAAATTCCAACCTATATTATCTTGCTTTCTAAATACAGTATAGTACTACAATTACATTTTTTTTTTTACCTTGACCTTTTTGCCATCAATGTTTAGGGAGCGAACTGAGAAGTCTACCCCGATCGTGTTTTGGTGTTTGTCACTGAAGGCGCCTGACTGGAAGCGTTGCACTACGCACGTCTTTCCCACATTTGAGTCACCAATCAGAATTATTTTGAAGAGGAAATCAAAGGGGTCATCCTCTGGTGAGCCAATTCCAGCCATAGTTTGTAATGCTGAGGGCCCCGGATCCACAGGAGCTTCTATCCAGGTCAGGAAAGGTGGGACATTATGTGGATCCCTAGACAGAAAGAGACAATCGTAAAAAAACAGTGTCTTTCTTTCTCCAGAGTACCAGTATTCACATGGCTATCTATATTTGGGAAGCTTTAAAGTAATATTACATCCTCTGTGTTTTTTATCTTCACTTATTGAGCCCAATAAAATAAACGTTCTCTGGTAAATGGTTTGTTTAATTCGTGAACGGCAAGTGCTTTGGTAAAAACTTAAAGTGGTTCTAAAGGCTTTTTTTTCTTTAACCTCAACGCCGCTGTCTCCTGGCCCTTTAAGGGGTTTCTGAAGCCAGGAGGCGGGGCGGGCTTTCTGATCATGTGACTGCGGTGACCAGTGTGCACTCTTGGCACAGATTTGTTTACGATTTGGCATGACAGCCTCTTGACGTCAAGACCCACCCGCTGAGAGGCCGCATATATGCATGCTATCGGCACAAAGGAGTTAAAATAATAAACACATCATACTTACCTGCTCTGTGCACAGAGCAGCCCCGAGCCTCCACTTCTCAGATCCCCACCCGGTGCTTCTAGCCCCTCCCTTTGCTGAATGTCCCCATAGCAAGCTGCTTGCTCTGGGGGCACTCGTGTGTGCTCGCTCCCAAGCTGCCTCTGTGTGCCTACGGTACACACAGAGCGTGGCTCATCACCCCCTCCTGCCTTCATAGAATCATGAAGCTAAAAAACCTTAATCTTTTCAAACCACTTTAACTTGGCTGGTCAAGCTTTACCGGCAGCACTGCCAGTGAAGTCAATGAGACCATGCTGTGACCATGAGCCCAATGCTTGGGCGGCAGTTGTGATGCAGTATCTGGGGATGGGGGGGGAGACTGTGGGTGGAGCTGCACCCAGAAGGTTAAAAAAAACTTCAGTCTTTAGAACCACTTTAATACTGCTGGCTCCTGCTCTCTCAGTGCTGCTTCCCTGAACTTCCAGTACTCACAATAATGAGTTAACAGTAGATAGTGAAATCTGGAGTCAGTCTGTTAGTTTGAAGAAGGGTGGGGAAAGAAAGAGGGAGGGACGGGGGTGTGCTTTGCCATCCAGGCTACAGGGATGTGTGTTTCTCTTGATGCACACAGCATAGGGAGAGATAGCTCTACTCCTTGCATGCAAGTGTGGCTACATAGAACAGTGCAAGAGAAAGGAGCCACCCTGAAACTGGAAGCCTGGAGCATGGTCATGATACCAGCTTAACATGGTAACATAAGAAGCTGCATAATCAATAAGTGGTTAAATCGCCTTCTGAAAAAAAAAACAGCACTTAAAAAAGTGTCTGTCCTCCCATTTGTGACAGTTTGTAGTAGAGTGAGTTTTAGCTTATATTGTTAGTTTCATTATATTTCTGAAAAAAAGTATAATTACTGTAATTACACCTAAGATTACTGTAAAAGATTTGGGCTGGAATTGTGAGCTTTAACCTATAAAAAAGGAAACATCTTTATTCATGGTGCCAGTGGCCACCTGGTGGAGTTTGCGTAGATATATATATATATATAGAAATTAAAAAAGGAGGACATGTTTGTAGTCCAAATCAGAGACTTGAGTCTAGGATAACATACAGTGGAGTCACCCTAGGGTAGGAAGTGTATTCCTGGGAGGATCACCATTTAAAATAAAGGGAAAAAAGAATGAAAAGTGAAAACTAATGTAGCTGCTACATCTGGTGAGCTGCAATATATTATTATTATTATACAGTATTTATATAGCGCCAAAGGGTTTGCTCAGCGCTGTACAGTAGCAAGGGGGACAGAACATGAGACAAGACAGCAACAATACAATACACGAGGGGTTCGAGGGCCCTGCTCTTTCGAGCTTACAATCTAGGAGGGAGGGGAAATTGGTACAGGAGGAGATGGCTGTGGGGGATGGAGTGGTGGGAGGAGTGGAGGAGGTTAGTTGTAGGGAGGTCAGGTGTTAGGTGAGGTTGGGGTAGGCTTCCCTGAAGAGGAGGGTTTTCAGGGTGCGCCTGAAGGTGAGGAGGGTAGGTGACAGTCTGATGGATTGGGGTAGGGAGTTCCAGAGGATGGGGGAAGTCCTAGAGAAGTCCTGCAATCGGGTGTGGGAGGAGGAGACCAGGGAGATAGAGAGTAGGAGGTCCTGTGAGGAGTGGAGGGCACAGGTAGGGTAGTATTTGGGTATCAGGTCAGTTATGTAGTTTGGGGCGGCATTGTGAATGGCTTTGTAGGTGAGAGTAAGCAGTTTGAATTTGATGCGTTGGGCAACCGGGAGCCAGTGAAGGGATTGGCAGAGGGGGGAGGCAGATGTGGAGCGGTTGGTGAGGTGGATGAGTCTAGCCGCTGAGTTCAGGATAGACTGGAGTGGGGATAGCGTTCGTTTGGGTAGGCCAGTGAGAAGGGAATTGCAATAGTCCAGGTGTGAGATGATGAGGGAGTGTACGAGTTGTTTGGTGGTGTCTGGGGTGAGGAATGTGCGTATCTTGGAGATGTTGCGGAGGTGGAGCCTGCAAGATCTAGATAGCAGTTGGATGTGGGGTAGGAAGGAGAGGTGGTGAGTCCAGGGTGACACCCAGGACTTTGGCGTGTGGGGGTGGGAGAGATGGTGGCGTTGTTGGTAGTGATGGAGAGGATGGGGGGGGGGGTGCGGGGGGGGGGAAGACCAGGAGCTCGGTTTTGGATAGGTTAAGTTTGAGGAAATGGAGCGACATCCAGTCTGAAATGTCGTTTAGGAGGTGGGCGATGTTTTGTTTTCTTGGTTTAGATATGCTTAAAAGTATATAAACCCAAGATCAAAAATGTAACATATTGCAGTTTACCAGTCCATAGATGGGATGACTGCATTAGTTATCTTTTTTTCAAGCTTTTTGTTTTGTTTTGTTTTTTACTTGGTGGTCCTGCCAGTAAAAGACTTACAGTCTTGGGGTGACAACATTCACTTGCTGTACTGTATGTAACAGGGAGAAGTTTTGTCATTCTAGGGCAGGAATATAGAACACCCCCCCTTCTTCATCTCCTTGACTTAGTGGGAAGGTGTTTTTGTAGTCATAACAAACCTACTATTAATATTGTTTTGGCTATCACTGCAGAGTGCACAGGACAGCACTGGATTTCAGGCAGAATCAACAAGTAATTTTTACACTTAACCAACAATGTAACAAAACACTTTCAAATGGTATATTTAAAAGTACAAAATGAAACAATTAAAGTGGTTGTAAACCCTTCCATATACCCAGTGAAGTGACTGGCATCTGGATTAAACAAATCCTCCTAAGTAAGTTGCACCTGTTTATCTTTAGCTTTCTAAAACACACAGATCAAAAGCTTTTCCTTAACTCCAGAAGACAGGGATCTGACATCACGCACTGCATTAAAGGAGAGCTGAGTGTAATCTGAGACCTGAGTGGAGAAAATTGACTCTCTCTCTCTCTCTCTCTCTCTCTCTCTCTAAAAAAATGCACAGCCAAGGCTGTCAATTGCTTGTTGTGCTGGGTGAGGGACAGGGCCCTCTCCCAGGATTGCTTGGGGTCACGTTAGACTGTCAGAAGTGATTCATGCAGATAGAAGAGGGAGGAGAGATCAGAGAGGAAACACATTAGAAGTGCTTTGGAGTGAGGCAAGTACACACTGTAGAGGTGTATATGCTTTGTTAATTTTTTAATTTCAGATGTTCACAACCATTTTAAGATAAGTTAATCGTTAGGCATTGCATATACGTTAGAGCCCAGCTGTCACATCAGGACCAGAAAAGGGATGAGATATCCATTCTGGGGTCACACAAAACCATAAACAATCAGTGGGTGATCAACCTCTTATTGCTAGACCTTCAAAAAGAGAACAAAACTTGTTTACCCAGCCGGAATAAACTGACACTGAATGATGCGCATACCATCCTTTGTTGCTGTGAGAGATGAAAAGACTCAGATACAAAAGCTGGGTGACTGATCATCAAACTCTATCCAGGAATAAAGTGTAACATGGATGCCGAATGGGCTGAGATGGCTTTAATCTCAGATGACTGACAGAGAAACCAGTTATGTGAAATATTAATGACCTTTATTCGTCCCCCAGGCACACCTGGCTTCAAGTTCCAGTCAACCGGTTGTATTAAGTGACAAGATTGAAACTCAGTCTAAAACAAAGTGAAATCACTTCACAGAGACCGTAAAGACTGCTTTCACACTGATGTGCTTTTGCAGCGCTAAAACACACCTTTTCAGTGCAATAAAAGTGCATTAAAACAAATCCCCTTTAAATCTAATAGGACTGTTCACACCACTGCAGGTGTGGTGTGTTTTGAAAAATCCTTCATGGTACATCTTTAATGTGGTTTTCAGAACGTCACCTAAAATACAGCTTCCCAATTAAATAAATGGAAAATGTATCAAAAATACAACATACCATTTGCATTTTTTGTGTCATTTTTCAATCCCATGTCTATTTTTCACAGGTACAGGGAACCAGAAAATGCAACAGAAATGCATCAAAAACACATATGTGTTTTTACCACGTTTACCTGCGTTCACATTGCTACACAGCAATGTGAAAGCAGCCTAACAAGATGGCATTAAGATGAGACCAATCACACAAAAGAGAATGGAGTCTTGTGTTTTCAAGGTCTCTTTTATTTGGAAGAAAATGCATGCCAAGCAAGAAACATGGCTTAAATCCCAATTAAACTTTCAATTTAAATCAGCTAAATACATTCCAGGTGAAAGCCATACAGTTTTTGTTCTTAACTCCTCCCTGCCCAGCAATCCCTTAAACCACTTCTTGTCCACCCACTGCCTATAAAAGGTGGATAGGAAGCAGTGCACTGGAGGCTCCAGCGTGGCTCATAGAGCCCTGTGATCAGTGTGTTGTCCGGATCACATTTCTGCTGAGTTCAGGTGATCACATGATCTTCTATCATGTGATTGCTGTGTCCAATCACAGCAATTACATAGTAAACAATGGAAATTGAGAGTATCAGTTCTCTCTTCCCTCATTGTGAGAGCAGACAGATTGGTTGCTGCAGCCTGTGAGTGTACAGCAGCCTGTCACAGTGCATGTACACCCACAGACTGCAGTGCCAGCCTGCCCCAGTGTCCTGATCACTATCATAGCCCATACCAGTGCCGTAATCACAACCATATTCCATACCAGCAACCTGATCACCGCCATACCCCATACCAGTGCCCTAATCACAACCATATTCCATACCAGCAATCTGATCACCGCCATACCCCATACCAGTGCCCTAATCACAACCATATGCCATACCAGTGTCCTAATCGCAACCATATGCCATACCAGCAACCTGATCACCGCCATACCCCATACCAGTGTCCTAATCACAACTATATGCCATACCAGCAACCTGATCACCGCCATACCCCATACCAGCATCCTGATAACTGCCATATGCCATAGCAGTGTCCTGATCACCACCATACCCCAAACCAGTTTCCTGATCAATTTTTAATTATACACTGCTCAAAAAAATTGGTAACTTTGAAAACACATCAGATCTCAATGGGAAAACTTCCATGCTGGATATCTATACTGATATGGACTGGGAAATGTGTTAGGAATGTAAGGATATTCCATTTTTGATGGAAATGAAAATGATCAACCTACAGAGTACTGAATTCAAAGACACCCCGAAAATCAAAGTGACAAATGTATGTAGCAGGCTAGTCCATTTTGCTGAAATTTCAAAATGGTACTCAGTACTTTGTATGGCCCCCCACGTACTTGTATGCATGCCTGACAATGTTGGGGCATGCTCCTAATGAGACGACGGATGGTGTCCTGGGTTATTTCCTACCACATCTGGACCAGGGCATCACTGAGCTCCTGGACAGTCTGAGGTGCAACCTGGTAGAGTCGGATGGACCGAAACATGATATCCCAGAGGTGTTCTATTGGATTTAGCTCAGGTGAATGGGGGAGGGCATTCAATGGTATCAATTCCTTCATCCTCCAGGAACTACCTGCATACTCTTGCCACAAGAGGCTGGGCATTGTCATGCACCAGGAACCCAGGACCAACTGCACCAGTAGTGACACTGACCCTAGCCAAATGCAAAACTAGTGAAAAACAGTCAGAAAAGATGAGTAGGGAAAAAAATGTCAGTGGCCGCCACCTCTAAGACCATTCCTGTTTTGGGGTTCATATCATTGTTGCCCATCTAGTGCACGTGTTGTAAATTTCATTAACACCAAAGCAGCTGAAACCGATTAACAACTCCCTCGGCTACTAATTAACTGACCAGATCAATATCCCAGCTGTTTAATTGACTTGATGCTTTGTAGATGCTATACACCAGGACTCAAAATGTCAAGTCCTAAGCTACTAGCCGCCCTTAATTCTGCCTCTTAACATGCCCTTGTAAATTATCTCATGAGATGGCACTGTTAAATGTTATATGCAGAATGAAGGAAGTGAACGGAAGGAAGGAAGAAAGTGGATGGAAGGAAGGGAGAAAGGGAAGGAGGGGTGGAAGGAAGGGAGAATGGGAGGGAGGGCTGGAAGGAAGGAAGGGAGAATGGGAGGGAGGGGTGAAAGGAAGGAAGGGAGAATGGGAGGGAGGGGTGGAAGGAAGGAAGGGAGGGGTGGAAGGGATGGTGGAAGTTGGGGTGGGAAGGATGTGAGGGGGGGGTGGAAGGAAGGAAGGGAGGGGTGGAAGGAAGAAAGGAAGGGAGGGCTGGAAGGATGGGAGGGGTGGAAGGAAGGAAGGGAGGGGTGGAAGGAAGAAAGGAAGGGAAGGGTGGAAGGGAGGGGTGGGTGGAAAGAAGGAAGGGAGGGGTGGATGGAAGAAAGGAAGGGAGGGGTGGGTGAAAGGAAGGGAGGTTGGACTCGCATGCTCAGTCAAGAGTATCAGACCTGTTAGCTGCTCTGTGAACAATATCCCGCCCACACATCCTCTTCTGGGAAGCTACACAACTGGTGACTGGAGTGTGGACAGCACAAGGGGAGGAAGCACAGATCCAGCCTCTGTCCCCTCTTCTCTTATTGGTGAGAAGGATGCAGGGAGGGGCTGGGCACTGAGGTGCACACAGCAGGGGGGCCAGGAAAGAAATGGAACGATTGTGGATGATCGGTGCAGTGGTGAGGGCAGTGGCAAGCAGTGATCTCCTGTATGTCTTTCAATGAAGCAACGGCTTTCAGCTGCTTCATTGAAAGTCATACAGGAGATAGGTCCTTTGCTGCCCCTCCCACACACTTCTCCTGGCGCTGCTTGCCCCGACCTTATTTCCACTTGCCCAATGCGAACAGGCAAGTGGAAATTTTGAGGGCTGCTATACACAGACTAAATAATATACACTGTTTTTGGTTATTGTTTTTACCAAAAAATGTAGCAGAATTCATTTAAGCCTACATCAATGAAGAAAGATTATTTGCAAACTTTTATAAGAAAAACTAAGAAAAATGTGAGTTTTTTTCCCAAATTTTTCTGTATTTTTTTGTTTATATAGCAAAAAATTAAAAAACAGTGGTGATTAAATACCACCAATAGAAAGCTCTAGCTGTCTCAAAAAATTATAAGAGTTTCATTTGGGTACAGTGTTGCATGCCTAAGTAATTGCCATTCAAAGTGTGACAGTATTGAAAGGTGAAAATTGGCCTGGACTGGAAAGGGGTGAAAGTGTCCAGATTTGAGGTGGTTAACAGGATCCTTACACCAGATAGCGGAAAGGATCAGCTGATCACGTGATAACTTTGATTGGCTGCCACAGTGGTCACATGATCAGGAGCAATCATTAGCAGAGGCCGGGAGCTGTCTTTGAAAGCATGGTCACAATGCTGGGAGCATGCAGTGAGCATGTTCTCAGCACAGAAAGCTCTGTCAACCATGGATGCATGTGTAAAGTGTGTGGACATTAAAGCCCACCCTCTTACTGCCACACATATGCATTATGTGGGTGTCAAAAGATGAAAACATCCTAACATCACAGCCTAAGTCAAAAAGCTTGTCCTCAGCCAGTGTGCTGAAGAGCAAGACCCTTGCTCTCTGTGTGGAGGCAGTGGTCTCTCTGCAGGGATCTGACAACCAGTAGGAATTGCAGAGCTAGAGGTCTGACCCAGCAGGGGAGCATGTCATTCCTCTACAGCAGGGATCTCCAACTGCGGCCCTTTGCTAGCCTTTATTCGGCCCTTGGAGCACTATTCCTCCCTCTGACACCAACAATGGGGCACTATTCCTCCCACTGATACCAACAATGGGGCACTATTTCCCTGATACCAATGATGGGGACTATTCCTCCCGCTGATACCAATGATGGGGCACTATTCCTCCCACTGATACAACAATGGGGCACTATTCCTCCAACTGATACCAATGATGGGGACTATTCCTCCCGCTGATAACAACGATGGGGCACTATTCCTCCCACTAATACCAACAATGGGACACTATTCCTCCAACTGATACCAACGATGGAGCACTAATCATTCTCACTGATACCAACGATGGAGCACTAATCATCCCACTGATACCAATGATGGAGGACTATTCATCCCACTGATAACAATGATGGAGCACTAATTCTCCCACTGATACCAATGATTGAGCACTATTCCTCCCACTGATACCAATGATTGAGCACTATTCCTCCCACTGATACCAACGATGGAGCACTATTCCTCCCACTGATACCAACGATGGAGCACTAATTCTCCCACTGATACCAACGATGGAGCACTATTCCTCCCACTGATACCAACGATGGAGCACTATTCCTCCCACTGATACCAATGATTGAGCACTATTCCTCCCACTGATACCAACGATGGAGGACTATTCATCCCACTGATACAAACGATGGAGGACTATTCATCCCACTGATACAAACGATGGGCACTATTCCTCTCACTGATACCAATAATGGGGCACTACTCTTCCTCCTACTGACCATCAACCCCGAGGCCATGTTTATTTTCACTGATGCTGGGCCCATGACATTTTTACCCTCCACTGGCCACAACTCGACCCTCCTAAAGTCTGAAGGGCAGTAAACTGGCCCTTTGTTTGAAAGGTTTGTAGACCCCCGGTATACAGAGAAACCATTGCTGCCACACAGAGAGTAAGAATTCCATTCTGCAGCATGCTGGCAGGTGACAGACTTTTGTACTCTGGCTATGGTATCTTTCTAGAAAAATAAACTGTATGACTTTACACACCTTTTTTTTTTTAAATGCAACTGGGATTTAGTTAGCATGTGTAGAGCAGGGTGAGACAGTGTATTACTGGATTTTAAGCAGTATAGCGACTTATATAGCGATTTTAATGTTTTACATAGCTATACATGCAAAACAGGTCATCCTGAAGTGTTCTAGCAGGACTTTTTGTGTTTTTCTGACTAAAGCTTAGCTATGGTGAAGGATAAAAGCAGAACTAAACCCATTGATTTACCAGTTAAAAAAACAGTTACATTCCTGTCATGTCAGGAAAGCTAACCGTCACATTTGCAGGTGCTGTCAACCAAACTGCCAAACCATCAAATGACTAGTGTCATAACTGATCACATGTACAGCACCATAGCAATTGCAGATCAAACATAGACTAAGGTGGCAGCTTCCTTGGCTGAAAAGGATAGAAGGGTTCAATTGAACTGAACTGAATTTATTCCCTCTTGAGAATAAGGGGGAATATGATCACCGTTTAAGTCTAGAGGAGAAGAGATTTAACCTCCACATACAGAAAGGCTTCTCCACAGTACGAGCTGTAAAAATGTGGAATAGACTCCCTAAATAACTAGTTTTGGCCAGCTCAGTGGATTGTTTAAAATGAGCCGCATGCATTCTTAAATGCACAAAATATAACTGGATATTAACATTTATAGTTATTAACAGCAGAGTTGCTGATCAATATCGGATTACCTTTTGGGGGATCAGGAAGGAATTTATTCCCCCTACTGGAGCAACCTGAACCATGCTTTATTGTTTTTATTTTGCCTTCTTCTGAATCAACTGTGGGTATAGGATTGTGTATATGGAGAATTTATTTTTTTCAGTTGGTTGAACTAGATGGACTTTGAACTAGATGACTTTTTTCAACCTAACTATGAACTATAAACACACCCTGAAATTCACGCATTAACCTTTTTTGTAACACATTGCATGGCAAAGCACTACTGTGCATTGCAGTGCACGACAGAGCAGGTGTGTTTCCCAATACCCTGGGGTACCATTCGAAATGCATCGCACTGCATGAAAGCCCTGCATGTTACCTCATCACCGCAACACAGAGAAGTAAATCCGGCCATGGAGTGAACAGTTGCTGTCATGCTTATGCAGAGTAGACCCCTGTGTTTCTGATACAAGTGATATAGTAAACAGTGGAAACTCAGTAGCATTGGTGGTTTATAAGGGAACACTGCCCCAAACAATGTTCT